ATTATTTAATTAGCTATTATATAAGTTTAATTATTTATTAATTATTATATATAAGGTATAAACTAAGTATTTAAAGATTAATATTTAATTCTAAGATTAATCTCTATTAAAAGAGTTCTTCTTTAGTTACTTAAGCTAATATAAGGAGTTCTACTTTAGTTATTAAGGTTATAACTATATTTTACTTATTTACTTACTAATTAATTAGCCCTCTAAAAAGCTTTATTATATATACCTATAAGCTCCTATAATTAATTATATTATTAATAAAAGATATATTACTATAGATAATATAATTATCTCTATCTCTAAATTATAAAGCTAGGAAATAAGTTATATATAAATAATTTAATACTTAGTTTACTTCTTTATAATACTTATTACTAGGATTTATTATAAACCTAATAATTAAGATATAGTAAAGGTAATATTTAGTCTTAAAATTACTACTATATAGAGGAGTAATTTAATAACTTACTTATATTAATTAGCTACCTTTTAAGTTAATTACTCCTTATTTAGAAAGAGTTTAGTTTTACTTATTAATATTACCTTTATAGTTTCTAAAGTTTATAATATATAAATCTTTTTAAGATAAAGGGATTAAGAGATCTAAATAAGATTATACTTATAATTATAGATAATTTCTATTTTAAGGAACTATTATAACTCTTCTTTATTTATTAATTTATAGGTTACCTTTAAAGAGGTAATTATATTCTTTATAATTCCTTTATCCTTCTTTCTATATATAATAATAATATTATTTATATAAAAGAAGATAAGAATTCCTACTTTTATATAGTAATAGGGTTTATAAAGTATAGATTTAAAGTTTAGCCTTTCTAAGGTTAATTTAAATTCCTTTTATTATAAAAGAGGAGTTATTTATAGACTATAAGTACTTTCTTTAATAAGAGTATTATTAAATCTATATTATACTTTTTATACCTTAGGGGTATTTATATAAAGACTTTATTAAGTAACTTTATATTTATAAATATATTTACTATATTAAACTAAAGTATCTTAAATTAAATTTTATAGCTATTATAAGAAGGGTTTAAAAAGACTTACTTACTAAGATTATAGTATAAGTTTCTTCTATAGTTATCTTCTATTATTAATCTCCTTAAATAATAAGCTTTACTTTATATTTTTAAAGATAACCTCTCTTATTAAACTTATATATATATATCTATATATAGTTTAATATTTATAAGCCTTAAACTTATAGATTAAACTATAAAATCTCTATTTAAGTTTATAATTACTTATAGCTCTTTAAGTAATTAAGTTCTACTTTTTTAAACTCTATCTTAAATTTATACCCTATTAAGTTCTTATAGAATTCTAAGGACTTTATTAATTCCCTTCTATAGAATCCTTTCTTAAGGGGTTTAAGGTTTATTAAAGTCTTTTATAGCTTATACTTAAGCTTTAACTTTCTATACCTATATTAATTATATATTACTTTAGTAAGAATTTTATTCTTATTCTTAACTAAAGGGATAATTAAAGAACTAATATAAAAGGCTTAATTAAGAGGTAGTAAGGTTTTATTAAAGAATTTTCTACTTTAAAGCTAGCCTTCTAGTTTAATTAAATATATAAAGAAGCTTATAGCTAGGCTTTTAGATAGTAAATAGAGAGGTATAAAATAGTATAAAGTATATATATTATTTTATATTTATCTCTTTTACTTTATACTTTAGTACTATTCTCTAAGCTTTTATTAAATATTTAAGGTTTAAATTATTAATTTTAAACTTATTCTCTCCTTATATTAGATTTAAGGATTAATTAACTCCTTAATCTATTTTCTTAAAATAATAAGTAAATTTAATCTTTATTAAATCTCTTTAAGTATTTATTTACTAATTATTTCTTATATTTAAGTCTTATTTAGGTTAAATACTTTATCTTTATTAAAGATAATATCTTAGGATATATATATATAATTAGTTAATAGATTTAAATTCTAAAGATATTCTATAAATTATATTTAATTAAATAACTAATCTATACTTTAGGGGAGAACTTAGTTTTAGTTATTATATTTTTAATTATATATTTATAGTTATAATAAAAGTTTTATAACTAATAACTTTAAGGTATATTATCTTTAGTTAAGGTCTATTATTTATTAATATAATTAAAACTCTTAAAAGGAACCTCTTATATAAAGTTTTCTAGTAAAGTCTTTACTTTAGTATTTAGTTTAATAGATATATAGTTATTCTAACTATTTCTAGCTAAAGCTCTAAAAGGATATTACTATTAAGTATTAAGAGTCTTACTTTCTCTTTAATTACCCTCTTAGAATACTTACTAAAGCTATTCTATTACTATATATAAGGAGTATACTCTTTAACTTTTATCCCTTTTTAATATAAGTATAAGTAAATACTTTTACCCTTTTATAACTTATTATCTATTTCTATTACCTTTATTATTATTTTATAGGTTATTTTTAAGGTTTAAATTAAATTATTAAGTATAAATTATATATTACTTTAGGTTTAATCTTTAAAGTAATAATCCTAAATAAAGCTTAAGTCTTTATTTATAATTATTATATAGGATATAAAGTTACTAATTCCTTTTAAAAAGTTATAGAAATTAATTAATATTTATTTACTTAATAATAAGCTACTTTCTCTTAATTTATAATACTCTTAATACTTTATCTTTCCTTTTATATAGATATTATATTAAATAGTTATTAAGCCTTTAATTTTAGCCCCTTTTATTAAATTAATTAAACTTCTAAGAGCTTATAGTCCTAGATAACTTAATTATTTATACTAAAGGATAGATTTAGCTTTACTTAGTAATTTCTAAGTCTAAGAATTATAATATATTTTATTTATAGTAAAAGTAGCTTATTTTAGCTTTTCTATATAGTATTCTAATATATACTAATTATAATAAATTTCTAGCTTATATAGAGTAAATCTATTATTATATTTAATAAGATCTTAGTTATTTTATTAATCCTATTAATAACCTATTTAATATAGTTTAATTAGGGATATTAGATTTATTCCTATTTTTAAGTAATAAGTAATACCCTTTAAAGTAAATATTTATAGCTTATTTTAAGTATTTAAAACTTAAATAATTACTTTACTATATCCTAAAATAAGTAACTTATTTAAACCTATAAAGATAATATTATTATAATTAGCCTATTAAAATCTACTAAATCTCTTTAAGTTATTAAATAAATATAGGGTTATTATAGAATTAAAAAGAACTAAATAATATAATAGATAATTAGAATATAAGGTTTAAAATATAGTAATTATACTTAAAATTTAAGTTTAAATATCTAATAGTTATTTTTATTCTTTATTAAGAATTTAAGCTTATTATATAGTATTTATACCTTTAAATTATTTTAAATTATTCTATCTATTTAATTAAAGGTAGACTTTATTAATATTTTAATAGCTAATTTTTAAGAAAAACTAATTAATAAGTAGTTATATTTATACCTTTATATTCTTTACTATATAAGATATATTTTACCTATAGCTTTAAAGATTATTATTACTATTTCTAAATAGGCTTTACCTTATTTATATTTTATTTTTACTTTTTATTTTTAAGTTCTTCTTAATAAAAGGTTAATTTATAGCTCCCTTTTATAATATAAGGTTTCTTTTTAGGGTTTAAAGCTCCTTTTACTTTCTTTTATAAAAGTTCCCTAAATTAAAGTATAAAAGTTAATAATTAATAAATCCTTACTTTAATAGCCTTATAGTAATTATCCCTTTATATTTTAAAGAGGATTTTAAATCTTAAGTCTAAGTTTATTTTAAGATCTTTAAACTATATAGCTAAATAGCTTACTTCTTATATATTTTATAGCTTTATAATTATTATTACTTACTCTTAATTTATAATCTAATATTATTAATTTATTTTAGTACTTTTTACTTAGTTTAAAGCTATATTATATACTTCTTAAGCTTATTTTCTTTTAAGCTTCTTACTTATTCTATAAGCTACTTTAAGATTTTTATAGAAAAGTAAAATATTCTCTATCTCTATAGTTTTATCTAAAGCTAATATATAGGTTTAAAGATAATATAAGCTAACTTATTTAGTTATTTAAGTAAATATATTATAAATTATATTTACTTCTTAATTATATTATATTAATTTAGTATAATATCTTATCTACTTAATCTTTAGATCCTCTTAATCTACTTAAAGAAGATTATTATAGTAGGATATAGGGCTTTAGCTTTAAATAAAGCTTATTCTAAATATTCTAAAAGTTAATAGGATTTTTACTATATAATCTTTAAAATCTAGCTCCTTTAGTTCTTTATAATATATTATACTAAATACCTTTAGGTCTTTTAATTCTATTAAATATAATACTCTTTTTATTATAGCTTTAATAATATATCCTTATTTAAAGGAATTTTAATTATTTAAGCTCTTTAAAGTTAATAATATTATAGATATTTTTATTAGGATTTTATAATATTTATATTATTTAAAAAAGAATCCTTTTTTAAATTTAGTACTTATATATATAGTTATAGCTATCTTTAAGAAGTATAGCTTTAAGACTCTTAATTATTAAATTAGAGGGTTAGAATTTATAGGGATAATTATATATTACTTATATTCTAACCTTATTTAGATTATCTAGAGGAGTCTTATTTATAGTTATCTATATTATTACTAAAAGTAGCTAGTTAAGTTATATAATATTCCTTCTTATATAATAAGGTGTATTTCAGCGGAATAAGCCTTAGGCTCTTTAGTCAGCAGGTCTAAATTACATGATGCTTCGTTTTAATAGGTAGCCCCCTTGTTTAACTTAGCTGAGATGGAACGGCGCTGCTTGCGCTGACATAAGCACCGATTGCATCATCCTGCTCCGGCCAATAGATCTGCACCCCGCAGGCACAATTGCCCTCTCTTTCGCGCTCAAGCATGCGCCTGGATGAGATATGAGCACGCGATAGAGACGCAACATGTCTTCCCATGCAAGTGACGAGCATATGGACCACCTGGACCAGCAGCAAGGAGACCATTTCTATGCACTGGGGACAAATAACGGAGGGCACGCGCCAAGCTCAGGGGATGCCGGCCCGCGGACCGCCTGCTTCAACTGCCGTGCCGTGCGACAGAAATGTGATCGTAGAACTCCCTGGTAGGTTCTTTTCATGGTTGCTGCTCCTCCTTCCCGCATGGTCAAATCACAAGGCTGACAGCTGGGGCAAGTTCTCGCTGTGTTTCACAAGCGAGGTCGTGTCGATATCCGAACACCTCCCACCGTGGCCGGAAACAAGGAAGCACCAAGTGAGCGCCCGCATCGAACGCCGGGGTATGTTTGATAACTGACTGACGCCGCCAAAGCAAACCGGAAACCGCTGAGAAGCTCCTGGCACGTATCAAGGAAAGTGCAGTTCGTGACGAGGTCATTGCTGGCCTGCTGGGCTCACAGTGGGCTCGCTCACAAGCTGCCCTCTCACCGCGTGTCCCGTCGCCACCACTATTGGAATCCAATTCTTTCAACGGGACTCACGGTATCAGCGCGTCGACAGCAACGGCATCGGTCGTCTATGAGCCCTCTCCGGGGCAGCATAGCCGCTCCGATTTGAAGGATTCCCTCGTGTCACCTTTGCATATCTTGGCGGCCGCTGTTGCCGCCGACCCAGACCCCACGTGCCACGGCCTCGGCTCTCGCTTGTCTACAACGTACCGTGGCAAGATTGGGCGGAAGGACATGGTTGATCCCAAGGATGAAAGGCTGGCCAGTTATTTTGGTAACTCACCTAAACCCCCCTCCGCCTTAATTTGTGGGTGTATGAAACTAAATTACTTCTGCAGCCCCCCAAACGTTACACAAGAGAGACTGGCAGGTACTAGCCACCCAGTCCATCGATATGCCGTTGAAGCTCGAACCAACAACTTGCGACCCTATAACGGCAAACCTCATTGACCTCGACGACGTTGCGTACTACTTTAAACTGTATGTATAGCCCTCATCAAACGAAAGAACCTATGGCTCGTTTGGGGCGAAATATTGGATACAGGCTAAACATGACATGACCCCTGACGCAGGTTCTACGATGTTCGCAACCCACTCGTTGGGCTGTTGGATCCTGGTCTCCACACCCCTGAGTTCGTCTATGAAGCATCATTCACCCTATTCTCGGTTGTCTGTGCTCTCGGGTGTGCAATTTCATCACGGCCCCGGGACCGTGTCTTGTACCCTGCTCTGATTAACATTGCCGAGGGGACCATGAAATGGTCCATTGCCACGTCTGTGAAAACCGTGGAAACCATCCAAGCGATCATCAACCTCCAGTACTGGGCACCTATACGCGCCAGACAATCAGATGACCCGTACTGGCTCTATCTGAGCCATGTAAGCCTGAACCAAGCCCCTACTGTGCCACAAGAATCCTCCTGACATGCTTCTCTTTGATAGGCCACGCAACTTGCCAGGGAAATTGGGATAAACAGCCCCAGCACTGTTGCAGAACTAGTCAACGCAGTCTCACCGAACGGGAGCCCCGAGTTTCGAGAGCAGTTGTCCCGCAACTTCGAGAGAACATGGTTGTATACCTTTATCGCGGACAAGAGCTTCGGCTTGTCGACTGGCCGTTCCCCAGGTGTACACTGGAGGGAGTTGCCAGCTGCCGCTCCTGAGTGGTGGCGGAAGCCGATGACTACCAACTTGGACCAGATGGTGAGCGGTATTGCGTTGGCACGAGAACTTCTGGTGAGTCTTCATCACGGCTGTGTTTCCTTTCTAAACTGACACCTCTCTTAGCTGGAATCCCTGGAACAGCGCAACCGGATCGACCGAACTGCACCGGCTATCCTCCATTGGCACACGCACGCCTTCGAAGCTCTGGAGTCCTCCAGAAGCAGCCGATGTACACCAAACGATCCGTTATCTGCTACATTCCACTCAGTTTTGGCCTTTTATATGGATCACAACCTTCTCGTGCTGAATGCGCAAGCTCTGAGAGACTTATCGGCGATTGACGACTCAGTAAGATCTGCCGAGTTCTCAACTATAACTCACAGAACCGTTGCTGTTGCGAATAGAGTTTTGGACCTTGTGCTGCTCGACAAGACGTTCCGCGAGATGGCCCTCGGATTCCACAACAACCAATTCATCATGATCTGCCATGCATCTACAGAGATTATCCACGTAAGCTTTTTGGCTTGGCAACCCGTGTTTACTCAAGCTAGACAGTATCGAGACTGACTTTAACCTCTAACAGGCTGTCAGGCGAGGATGCCTGACATCAGCCGAAGCTGCAGAAGCCGCAGCTCGAGTTCGAGCCATCCCGCTCCATCTGGAGAAGACCGCACGAAACTTCCACGCCTGCTCCGTCTCACACCTCTACATATTCCTCTCGCGCTTCTTCGCCTGCCAGCTCGACAAGCTCCTCGAAGGCGATACCGGCCAGAACGAGCTGGGCCGCTCCGCAGATCAGGATTTCCCCTTCGCGGAGTGGTGGGGGCTGGGCGACAACGTCTCTATTGACACGGCAGCCTGGCTCGATATGGGGTTCCTTGGCTCCCAGCAGCCGCTCTCTGGGGCTGACGATTCTCACACCACCGGGCCTCGGCTGGATGACTTTATGATTAATTAGGCTTGAATGTTGTAGTATACCCCTGTAGAATTCCTCTTCGAGTTCATCTTCGAGGACGCTGCGTTACTTGAAGGGGAGGATGTTTCCATTGTTGTTAATTGTTTTTTGATGTTGATGAAGACTTCATGATCTAGATTCACTTACTCTAGCTTACTATAGCTACGAAGATCTGGATGTGAACCTTCTATTAGAATTTCGGGATGATCCTTGTTTTTAATTTGCTTTATTTTCTAATTTTTAATTTTCTCAAATATATCAAGGTAGCTATACAATACGACACGAAAATGTTTCCTCAAAGCTGCTTGGGTTGACCCAGACCTTTCCAATGTTTCCTCATGAACACGGTCCCTCATAGAATGATACCGCATACGTACGTCCGCCCTTTCTTGAGAGAAGCTTACCGCTTCGGAAGGGCTTACCGAGAAGGATTCTTAGCACATCAATGACCCATGCCAAATAATTCATTTTCCAAATGCGTAAATTCAGTGACTATGCTATGTAACGTAACGTGTACCTAAAATTCTAGCGCGCTAATTCTTGGAAACCATTGCTCATGTCGTGTTCATTCGAGTGTATAATGCAAGGTAGTATGCTGGAGATGCAAAACGCTAATATGGGTCGAAAAGATGCTCAGCCTATTTCCAACCTTTTTCTTTTTCCTAGAAATTTGAATGGCCGGGCTCAGGTTGCCGTTGTTCCCACAATGTCGAAGGGGCCATGTGTATATCAACATCGGAGATGGCGCATACTCTCCTTGTCCAAATGCCGGGAGGTGAGGCAAAAGGTAGGTGAGTTAAAGGGGGAAAGACTGATACCCGCCCCGACCCCTGGTAAGATTGTTCATTTTACATGTATTCTTCATGAGAAGACGCCTTTGGCCAGTAGGGTTTTAGTATTCTAACGGGGGGTTGGCCTTCAGGAGGGGTTGGTCTCATCCCGTGACTTAGGTCTCGGATGCATCAACCTGCCAAGACCTCCAGAGATCTTGCGAAAGTTCACGGTGTCGTTCATATGTTTGAGGGGGTAATTTTCCCGTTTTGTAGACTTCGTTGCGGAACGGGCCATGGTCTTGATAATGGCTTATATTAGAAAGTCGTGGCGCCTGGGGATGGGAGTGAGACTTGACTTACTTTGGTCGGGGAACGGCCCGTTCCCGACTGTGTATCCATGAACCCAGTAACCTCGTGGCGTGGCCCCTTCCTCGGTGGGAATCTCCCTCCAACACTTGACGCCCCCGAACTCAGACCACCTGGGTCTCGATCTTTCCTTCCCCTGGATTGCAACAAGCTGGTAGTCGACGGCTGCATATCTCTCCCAGGGGCTCAGCGACAATGTCACTTCTGCGCTTGGCGGCACAATCCTACATACCAGCGCGTCAACTGTTGGTAGAAATCGGTGGAGCAGCCTGCTGGAAAGTTCCTCTCTGTTCTCATATGGCCATACGAGCCCCGTCAAGTCGTCATGTGCGCCATACGTCGGCCTCGCCAATGTGATTCTCAAGAACGAAAGCGCTGGGAAGATGGGCGGCCCTGGCTGTTGATCGTCGCCCGTGCCGGACTTCCGGCCATGATCAGTCAGGAAGTCCGCCAAGGCCAGTTGGTGCGGATCCCACTCGAAGTGAAGCGACACCATGTCGGATAACCTTGGGGTTGGGATTAAGTTGTGGAGGCTGTGCATAAGCGTTGCCGATTTGATGTATATGGTGTTGGTGCCAAATAATATGTGCGTGCCCTCGTTATAACTAGCGAGCAAATGACCTTGGTTAGATATTTCACGCGGCAGTCTATGGGAGTAAGTAGAGGCTCTATGAACTCACGCTTTCCTGCACGTCAGAAGCCACCCCAAGATGCCTATCTGGCACTTTTTGCCCGGCACCTTTCCCGGCCAGGCATAGCAATTTGCGCACCCCATGAGACAGTAGTCCATGTCTGCGTCAGAGTACTGTTCCCACGGGTAGTGGCACCATCTGCCAAAGGGGAGGGGGATGGCCTTCGGCGAGTTGCGATGGCAGACGCAGCCGAACCATCTCCATTCCTCCTCCTGGGATGTGTCGTACCGGCTGCCCTGGGCAGGACTGTCTGCGTGTATCCTGGCATGAGCACTTGTGTGCTTGCAATGGCCATCACGGAGGATGAGGGGATATCGATAGCTGAGGTCCATGTGAACTGTCCGCTCCCCAAAGGCAATGACTTGGATCATCCGGCGGATCTCCCAGGGAAGTCGAGTGAAGAATAGGTTGGCCTTGGGGTCCGCGCATTCCCCGGGCGTACTGGCGGTTGAGGACGCCCGCGAGACAGGCCGCCGTTTCCTGTGCTGCCTCCTGCGCTTACGGACCATGTTCTGGCTGGTGTTGTAGCGACGCTTGAGGCTGCAGCGCGCGGCGCGCCAGGCGACTTCCGTCAGGGTTGCAGCCCGTTTGAGCTTCTCCATGGCGCGGTTGGGGATGCGGCCCATGATGGCGGCGCAGGCCATCTCTGGTCAGCTCGCAGTGAATGAGGCCGGCGAGGCTATCTATCCTAGTGGCATCTCCGTGGCGTGACGTGGCCGGTCAGTCCATCTCAGGCGGCAGTCGCGGGGGCCTGGTAGAGCGTGTCTGTCTGCCAGGAGGAGGGGGACAAAGGACGGGAGGGAGCGGTCTCAGTGGCGGATCGCGAGGTGGACGGGCACAATGGATGGGCGAGCAACCATTTGATGGGTGAAGCGACGTTGAATGTGGTGTGGCTGAATGAATATTGCCCCGCTGACAATAGAGGCTCAGCCAACATGACACATGCTTGGAATTCACAAAGCACGTGCCACGGATCCCACCACGGCCGTCTGCTAATTAAAGCCTCCAGCCGTTATTGGGTGCTGACTCGCTGTGCCTCGAGTCGTGGTTTGGGCCTTGTGAGCCCTGGACTTTGCCACTGTTCTCTAACTGAGACGCCAGGGAGCGTCTTAAGCTTACTGAGCATCCGTGGACATGGTTAAATTCAACCTTTTTACGGGGGATTTATCCTTGGATCGCCACAACACGCTACTGACGGTGTGCCCAGAGAACTGACTCATGCTTGCCTGATTGGTCTCGGCATTTCCCATCTGTATTTCAATCGGAGCACGATTCTTTTTAATCTACATGTAAAGGGATATTATTCCTTGTGTTGAGATGTCGGGTCTGGCATCTTCCATGGCTATTTTTAACTTTATACTTCAACTCTCTTTCCCGTAAGGAATATATGTTCATTTGGACTTGGAGTACCTGGCCGTGTCAGCTTCAATCGGCAGGCTTCATGTTTACTCGAGACGGCCTGGCTTACAACGAAGGTTCTTTCATTGAAGCTCTTCAATCATAAAAGAGGGCTAACATGTCCTAGATGCATAATTTAATCGGTACAAGAGACCGGAAATCGGGCAATCATCTCTCGGCGGCAACGACACAACCCGTTGGACCAATGCCTTTCTCCTTCGGTATCCGGAGCACCCAGCTCAACACAGTGTGATGCCAAGGGTATCCGACAAAGAAACCACCCTCCCGCCGCAGTGATTTCACCTGAATCTATTTTTATTAAGTGAAGTGAGTTGTGCCACGGGACATTGTATCCGTACCAGCGGGCGCCTGATCATAGCGGGCCTGGGCACAACTCCACGAGTCCAGGATGCATCGTCTCGGGACTCCCGGGCGGGTGCCAAGGGCCGAGAAACCCTGTTCCCGCAATGGGATTTTTATGATCTATCATGGACTCCACAAGTAACGAGAGTCCAGTGTTTCTAGCAGGTCGGCGAATTCCAGTGGCCACTCCGCGTAATGCTTCAAGTCTGTCGGCAACGTGGCGGCGACCTGTCGAGTCCATGCGATGATGACATTTTTGCGCCCCGGGGTGCTGGGAGCCTCGGTCGGTGCAATGCAAACCTGTCCGAGCACGTATTCGACCAAGAATGTGTGGATTATTAGTAGCCTGGCTGCGTGGTTGTCGGGACTGACAAAGGCGGAAAAGTCTTCGTGTGAGAACGATATCGCCATCATGAAAACGTCAAGAAAGCGTTTCCAGGCTGGCAGAGGGTTAGTTAGTTTCGTGTCTGGCACGCAGTTTCCGGAACAACTCGCCTTCAATGCCAGATATTTCCACCGCATCGATGCAGCGAATAAGAGCGTCGGCATAATTTCTTTCATTCTCATTTGCAGCCAGTGGCGGCAGTGCGAGAGCAGAAGCCCTGAAACCGTCAATGATACTTTGGTCCCTTGGTTGTTCTTGGACCATCAAGCTCAGTATTTCATAATGCTCCTCTTGATGGGCACTGAAAAGGGAAGTGGTTATTTCTTTGATAACTGAATTGGCAATAAGGCTCCCGCCTCGCGACATAGTGAGATAATCGGCCATACTGTCGAGGCCAGGCAGGAGGCTTGATTGCGACACCAAACAAAGAACAGCCGCCAGAAGAGCATCTGCCTCCTGCGACGAATGCGAGGGTAGACTGAGGCGTTCATTAACTAGCTGCATGGTAGTGACGCGATGCTGGAGAGCCTCTGTTGTGTAATCCAGTCCCGGCGTGCTCTGGGTGATATGGGCGGCTCCGAGGCCGAGCACAGCATGCGCAAGAAAGTCATACTACACAGCCAACCGCGTGAACATATGGTCTGGAGCCAGATACTGAACGATGCATGCTTCTTACCTCATGCGACATGGCCGCGCACTGCATCCAGAGGCCTTCTGATTTGAGAGGAATCGTGGGACGGGCAACGGTCAGAAACTGGTGGTAGAACCTCAGATCTTGGAGTGTGAGGCTCGCCAAGGGCGCCTGGATGGCTGGTGAGGATGCCATTGACAATGCCCTTGTGGCACAGCTTATCCCTGCGACAGTAGATGGATACTCGCATCGCAAATCCAGACGGCGACATCCGTTGCAGACAGGATGCACCTCGTCGCATTTCACGCGACGACGTTTACAGCTGTGGCAGCCCAGACGCGATTTGAAATGTCCGCGGCGATGGGAAACCTGCCGCTTTGAAGGCCCGCGATGAGTTGCGGGAACATCCTCGCCCGTATCTAGGGAAGGTCGTGCGCCGGAATTGTCTGTCGTTTCGTCGAGATGCATTCTGGAGCTGACGGGGCGGGGTTTCAATTCACGACGCGTTCCTTGCGTCGCATTTACGTAGTGCACACCTGAGGCTGACTGCTTCAGCCAGCTTAGCTAAACCATCACCCTAGTATTTTACGATATAAATCAATAATCTTTAAGTATATTATCTCTTTTTTATTTATTATCAGCCCTAAATAATCCGAAAATAAAGGTCGAGGAGACAAAATAAGCAGCATAATATTTGAGTGTGTTAAATTCAATTCACCCAGCTGTCGCCCTATGCGGGCCTTCTGAATGAATCTTTGGGGTCAAGGAGAAAAATTTGATTACTTATAAGCAAAGCAAATGTTCTAAGATTCAATCATTCATAGCTCATAAGTAGTTGTTGAAGCCCGAACCGGGGGGAAAAAAATTGGATCACCATACTTGTTCGGACAAATCTTTTCTGGGCTATGACCAAGGATAATTGATCAAGGCAATATCAGGCCGAAATCAGAGCTCACTGGGAGCATCAACTAGGTAAATCGGTATATCAGCATAAGAAGAGCGTGATGCCATTTTTTGCTAATCAGCAGTTGCCGCTTGTTTGGTCTTCGAGAGAATGTGAAGTTTATACAAGTAGGTAGAAGCCAAACATGAGCTCCGGTTAGACAAGCTTCATCCGAGTTAATATGGTGTTTCCAATGATGAGGCCCGGGTTTTTAGGGCTCTTAGGAGTCCTTTTAGGAAGCTTGGACCATGAATTACTATACGGGGTCAGCCAAAAGTAAGTTCTCACGTTTCACTTTGGCCCATTGTAGAAGCTCATTGCAATCCTTGCTCTCCAAGCTGACCCGTAGGATCGCCGAGTTACAAATAAAGCGTGAAATTACGATCCGCAACGGCAAAGCCTGTCTTAATACACACTCCAAGTAGAGAAGGTCGTATGATGGCCTTAGGTACCTTACTTCAATGGGGCGTCGTACGTTTGCGCAACGTATAAAACCCACCCGCCCTATTTTCACACGATGCTAGAAGGAAGCCTCCATGTATATCTAGACATCAGCAGCACCCCTTTTGCTCACATGTTTATTTTAAGCCTTCTGATCGGCACGGCCCTAGCTGTGCCGAGCAATTGGTGTGGCAACAAAGCACCAACTTCAGAGCACCGAGAGGCAATTCAAGCGTTGCGCGTTGCAGAAACCGCCGGCATTTCTCTTCATCGTCGCCAGAGCGGAAATTCCAGTTCTACGATAAATGTCCCCGTATACATAACCGCAGTTGTCAACACGACAGACTCAGAGGAGATGCTGAGTGAAACAGTGCTGAAGTCGCAGTTCGACGTACTCTCCGACCGCTTTGCTCCATACAACATCACCTTTACGCTGAAGAGCACGAACCGCATGATTGATGACGATAACTCCAAGGGTTTTGACTACTACGGCTGGAACTCCTTCAAGGCTGCACAGCGCAAAGGCGACTATGGAACCCTCAATTTGTTCTACGTGACTAACATGGACGATCAGACATGGGGGAGTGGTTCTTGCACCCTACCAGGCGATGCGTCGGGGGGGCCTTTGGTGACTATGCTTGATGGATGTACAATGAATGCCTATACCGTCCCGGGCGGCGTGTCTGGTGGAAAGACCTATAAAGGAGAAATCACGGTCCACGAAGTCGGGCACTGGTTCTCTCTGCTTCACACCTTTGACGGAGACAACTGCACTGGTCCTGGAGTAAGTGAAGCTGGCTTCGGCGGCTGGGTAAGGATTGGCCAAAACTAATCACTGAGTAGGATTATATTGATGACACTCCTCAAGAGGCTACCTGGGAGCTGAACGTGTGCCCAATCGGCCGAGATTCGTGTCCTGATCAGCCAGGGCTGGACCCAATTACAAACTACATGGATTACGCTGGTGTAAGTCTTCTTCCTTCTACTATACTCTCAGGAGCACTTTGCGTCTCATCAATGGCGTAAAAGTTACGAGAAGAAATATTTTTAGAGAATAAGTAAACTAACAGTCGTTCAGGAAGGATGGTAAGTTTCAAGCTCACGAAAGTAGACGGCCATCGCTCATTAGTGACACAGCTGGACGGAATTCACCCTCGGCCAAACGGAAAGAATGCACAACGCATACTGGACATTAAGAAGTCCCTCGTCAGTTTCGAAGAGAGAATAAGTATAGCTTTTTTACTTTGGGAGGTTGCAAAACAATACTTGTTAGATGTTGAATAGCTAAGAGATCCGAGCACCGGACAATGCCACAACCAGTCTACTTGCAGAACGTCATTGAAAATTAAGAGAATGTCATCCTTTTCCCAACAATATAGACAGTAGGAACGTTCAAAATATAAGTCAATTACAGATATTCTAACCTAGGAGAAATCAGAAGATATTATGATGATGCTGTTGTTTGTTTAGGGTAGGCTCTTGGCAATGGAATGATTAGGTAATAGGTACTTTGAAGACAACCCAATTTTTACTGACCAATTGAAATCGTTGGGCCAATCCAACCCTTATCTCGGGGAGAACATTCCCCCAGCACCTCGAGTTGCGCTGGGACAAAGCTCCTTCGGTATTTTTAACAATGGCCACCCATGGCTACTGCTTCCGATCTGGGGACTGCGACTAGATTCAGACGTATCACGCGCGCCTGTGACTTTTGTCATCGACGTGGTCTCAAATGTCGCGCTGCAGCTGAGAGCCCAGCCAATGGCTGCACTCAATCTTGTCTGACTTGCGACGAGGTTTGCCTTCCCTCCGTCAACTCTCCCTGATTCCTGCTCACTATTTCAAACAACAGTACAGACAAGAATGTACATGGAATAGACAGCCGAAGAAGCGAGGCACCAAGTCCCGAATCGCTACTCAGGCGCAGCAACAAGATGGTGCCTCTGTTCGCGCTGGGAACGGTCCCTTCAAGACCCTTGAACTGCCTGCAGGAAGCGCCAATTCATCAATCGGAAGCCGCAAGATCATCACTGCCCTGTTGGACGCCTACCTTGACAGCATCCACCCCATGTAAGATTGATCCTCCCATCCCATGCCAACTTCGCAAGCATGCCATGGCCATACCTAGTAACATTTTAGATTCCCATTCTTCTGCGAGCGCGAAATTTGGGTGGGCTGGAGAGACGGCACGTTTCCCGCCGACGCCTCTGATTACATGAGTCTCATGTGCATGTGCGCTCTCAGCGCCCAGCACGTCGGAAGCGGCGCCCTCTTCAGCGACGATGTCCCGACCGTGGAGAGCTCTCTTCTCGCGCAGGATTACCTTGCTGAGGCCGTCCGGCTCGTCCCGCTGGATTTCAAAGGCCCATGCATCAACCAAATCCGCTCCTATGGATACTTGTCGCTCCTTGGAGCCCAGACGGGGAATTATGGCATGGCGCACAAGTACCTCGGCCTCTACCACGGTATGTGCGCGCACTACAACCTGCACGACGAGTCACAATGGCCAGCAGGCATCAGCGAGTGCGAGGTTGAGGTCCGGAGGCGTCTCTGGTGGATCATGTACCGTCTCGAGGTGCACACCGCATGCGTTCATGGAAGCGTCGTACGCTGCTCCGAAGCCCAGTGTTTCGTTGCCTACCCTTCTGGCCTTCACCACCCTCCATTCATTCCAGGGCGAGATGGAAATTTCGAAGACTGGTTCAAGGGGTGGAATGCGACTACCGATCTCTATCGTGTCTTGGAGCACGTTATTACTGAATTCAGATCTCGCCGACGACCTCAGTCATCCATCCTCGGAGCGGGCCACGCGAAAGCGCCAGCAGTGTCCGTGAATGAGAAGCTGACGAAGATTCAAGAGGAAATTCTACCTCATTTTGGGTCTGCCTCATCACGGTCCTCAGATAGTGGCAGAAACAGATGCGGGTTTCAGGCGTCCAACATTCTCTGCACGATCCATTTGGCGAGAATGATATCGATATCGGGAGAGAGCAATTTTCACTCGGCATGCCAGACTGCACACGACATGGTAGCAAGTGTGAGCACGATACCGATCGAGTACATCCGAGCTATCGGATCTCCCCTCTTGCAACAGTTGGCGGGCGTGGGCCACATGCTAGCAGGCGTCGCGAGCAAACACCAGTTCTCACACGCAGACCGAGAACAGTTCAGGCTGGTTCTCACATCAATGATACAGTTTCTCTCGCAGCTGAGAGCACACAACAGCACCGCGGCAACGGAGGAATTGAGACTGGCAGCCCACCTCAGCGAGGCAGACAGGAATTGGTCATTGGCCAACGCTGAGACTGAGTCATTGGATGACGGCGCTACATACGATACTCTTGCGTGGCCGGATCATCTGCAGAACCTGGTGGAGGAAATGAGTGACGATCGACTGTTTTTCTCTATGCATCTAGAAAGAAGCCTTGCATGGCCCTTCGAGCCGCGAGATGGAGATGGACCAGAACCTTGAAACATTTTAAATACAAACTAATTCTACTCTACTCTTATGACTTTACTCCCATTTTATCGTTACAAGTATTCGTATCCTTCTGCTTGTTTGTCCGCCAAGCATAGTACTCCCCTCCCGTCATGATCGGATACTTCATCGGGTTTTCCTCACTCACACAAGTTGGAACTGGCTCGAGCAGCTTCTTCCGGTCGAATCCGAAAAAGAAAGGTGCAGAGTACCTCTCATGCCCACTCTTGTTAATGACCCGATGGATGGTGGAGACGAAAAAGTTGTTGGTCTGTCTCATGAAGGCATCCGCGATGTTGACCACGAAGGATCCCTCGATCGGCTCTGCCTTGATCCAGTTACCGGATTTGCTCAGTACCTCCAGACCTCCAGACAGGTCTTGGGTGACAATGGTGAAGCACTCGACGTCCGTGTGGGCACCGATGCCGTTCTGGTCATCGACCGAGTGCTTCTGCTCAGGGTAGTGAAGTATTCTCATCCCAGCTTCGGGACGGCGGACATATGCGTCAAAGTACTCTTCTGGGAGGTGGAGGGCGAGGGCAAAGATCCTAGTCAGGCGGCGCGAGAGCTCGAGCAGCTTGGTGTGATATGCGTAGAGACCTTCACGGAAGCCCGGTAGGTCGGATGGCCAAATGCTCACTGATGGCTCCGTCTTATCGACTGCCTCGGGATCTTCCGAGGCATCGTAGGCCCAGTTGAACGCCTCGCTAAGATCTATATCGCGCATTAGATGCTGTTTGCATGAAAAAAATGCAAGATATGGCAGAGACTGAGAGTCAAGACTTGCCTTGGTGTTTCCAGCCGTTTCTGTTATAGCACTCCATCGGGTGGAAGCCTACATACTCATTGGGTACCAGACCGGTGAATATCTCCATCTTCTTCTCCTCGGGTAAGGCGAAGAATCTCTTGGCTTGATCGATGACCTCAGTGGCATAGTCTTGGTCGATGCCCTACCAGGTTGCTTTGTTAGCTTGGATGTTGTGGCGCAGAGAACAAAGAGCTCACATGATTGATGAGGTAGAAGAAACCGATATTCCGTGACGCATCCCGGATCTCTTCAGCCACAGCCTTTCTATCTTCCAGTTTGTCACTCCAAATGCGTGAGGCATCGATCACCGGAATCTTTTCCAGCTCCGTGGAAATGTTTGAGTTGAAGCTGAAAATATCACCATTCTGCAGCTTCACCGTCCGGACTTTGGCGTCTGCCCTCGTATCAACGGTAGTCTGAGACATCTTGTGGAGTTTGGCGAGATTGTATCGGCTGTGTGTGAGAAGGTATTTCTTATCAGGAATCGTTGACCTAGTTTGGATACTAGTCGTAGAGTATACGTACGGAGCAAGAGTATTTATCAACCTACTCTCTACGCATCAGATACATAATCACAAGTAAAATGTCTTATCGATAAAACGGCAGAACTGGTAATCTTAGAATCACTTAGTATATCGTTTCATGATTCGCTGAGCAAGAGGTGTGTGGATGGCTCAGGACCCTTGATAAGAGAGAGTGGCTTATCACAACTGTGACTAAAAACTGATAAATTGGACTGATAAACTGCTAAACTGCTCATTCCCGCACAACCCCGCAACTCCCTGCCAAATCAGCACACGCGGAATTGTTTTGCAACATGCATATCATTGAGTCAGGGTTCTATCCGGGGTTGCTTATCTGAATTGGGTCCGGCACACCCAGATTGCCGATTCTTATCACTTCAAAGACTTGATACGCTAAGCTGGCAACTCCAGGCTGGAAACCCGCCTCCATGTCAAGGCTCTTGGTCCGTTTCTCCAAACGTCAGAGAGGCATAAAATCAGAGGACTGCACTCTCTAAAAATGGATTGACCATCTGATATTCATCATTCTACTCTAACAACATTACCATAGTCACCATGGCGGAGGCTTCAACATCAACCTTCACCAGCCGCCTGCTTCGGCGACTGGAAGTCCAGAGGGACACGGATGCTGACGTTGACATCTACGTAAACAAGGATACTCGTCCATTGCCTCCGTCCCGTCGGCCTTATGGACCATGGGAGTTTGTCGGTCTTTGGATGGTCACCGGATCCTTCAACGTTGGTGGATGGACGACTGGCTCTTCGCTCATTTCACTTGGGCTGAATGTCTGGGTATGTATTGTGCGATTGGCAATCGTCGAGGTTTTGGTATATCGTATCTGACACAGGATCTAGCAATCAATGCTTGCTATTGTTATTGCGCACACCTTTGTCGGATTTGTTTGTATTGCGGGCGGTCACCCTGGTGCGAAGTGGCACATTGGCTTTCCCTTGTGGATGAAGCAGAACTGGGGTATCTGGGGATATTGGTTCCCAATGGTAAATCTGACCAGCAATGTTCTCTCCACGGAAGAAGTGTACTGATATTATGCTGCTCCGTTAGGCTATCCGCGTCTTCCTTTCATTTGTGTGGACAGCCACCAACACATGGTATGGTAGCCAATGCCTCAAGGTTCTTCTTAGCTGCATGTCGCCAGCATTCCTCAAACTTGACACCCCGTTAGCAAACGGAGCCATGAAAGTGTATGACTTCGTCGCATTTATCGTCTACTTCATCCTCTGCCTCCCGTTGATCTGGTTCAGCCCTGAGAGATACAAGAAGCCATTCCTCTTCTCATCAGTGACCGTCGCGACGACTGTCTTCGCGCTATTGATCTGGGCCACCGTTCGCGCTGATGGTGGAGGGGCTCTTCTGGCAGACACTACCATCAGTGGTGTCAAACCAGCCAAAGGCGGTGATCTGGGCTGGGCGTTTGTTGCTGCGATCACTGCCAACATTGGAGGCATTGCTACACACATGTGGTCTCAGTCCGACTACACACGATATGCTCGCAAACCAGGTGACCAGATTCTGGCTCAGATTGTCATGGTCCCTCTTGGTACTATCATCGTGGCGTGCATTGGGATCGTGTGCACCTCGTGTGCGGCGACTCTTTACCCCGAAGAGAAGAAGCTGCTCTGGCAACCGTATGCCTTCCTTGATGCCATTCGAAAGTACGAAGGCAATAGCGGTGCTAGGGCTGGTGTCGCATTCGCCAGCATTGCATTCATGTTCTCCCAATTCGGCATGGTGGTCGCATCCAACTGCGTCGTTGCTGGTATTGATCTGGCTGCTCTTTTCCCTCGATGGTTCACTATTCGACGAGGTGGCTACTTCACAGTTGCCTTCGTCTTTGTCATGCAGCCGTGGTCATTATTGAACAGCGCCACCAACTTCCTGACTGTCGTTGGAAGCTTTAACATCTTCTTGGGCCCCCTCATGGGCATCATGTTCGCCGACTACTTCCTTCTGCGCAAGACCACCATCAAGCTCACAGAGCTCTTCTCAAAGTCGCCGGAGAGCATTTACTGGTACACCAAGGGCTGGAATTGGCGCGCTGCCGTCGCCTGGCCCATGGGCGTTTGGTTTCTCATGCCTGGCCTCGCCCAGCGTGCCGTGGACCCTACCGGTTTCTGGGCAGGGTGGACTAGACTTTATCAGCTATCATGGTTCCTGGGATGCTTGGTTTCAGGTATCGTTTACCTGGCTCTGGATTATTTCTGGCCCATGCCCGACAAGCTGGCTGTGGATGATCTTGACTATTTTGGAACCTTCGGAGATCCTCCTCCCTTTTTAGAAGCCAAATCACCAGTTCCAGGCGCTACCATCGAGGAGAAAGTATCTGAGGAGAAGGGAGATAGGGTGTAGTGCACCTTGCGGAGTGGATGCTCACAACTTGCTGATTCCGGCTTTGAGAGTTTATCTTTGGTGGGATAGATTTAAATATATCAGACTGTTTGGTTTATAATCCGGCAACAGGGAGGAAGCAAATAAATTACTGTGATTTATTGGATAACCCGGCCTTTAATATATACGGATGATGTTTAATTTGAATTTGAGCATATATGGTGATATTTTGGCTTCCCGTTGATGCTCATGATTCTCACCCGCAAAGAAATGTCTACCCATCTCTCCCGGTCACTATACTGCCTTGAATATTTAAGCTAATGACCTCAATAACCCGAATTCAACACTAAATACAGGCAGAGCTCGGATCCCATCCCGGATACATTCAGAATTAGTTTACCATTTCATAATCACCTTAGATACAACCTCAAACGGTATATCCCATTCCAGCACAAGCTAGAGCTAGACAATGCAGCAGCCTACTTCAAAAGCTAGTTTAGTAACTAATAGAACCTCAATAATCAGCCCAGGAATCACGAGATCTCGTGCTTACATGCACCGTGCAACCCTTCACTCGCATCAAGATCCCTGTCCTTTAGCGTGTTCAGCTGACTGGGGCCGGAAGCTTCGTTTTGCCGATGCGAGAGTAAGACTTGGAAATGGCAACATCCCAAAGTTCCAAACCGACAAATCGAACGTCCATCAGGTCTCCGGAATGCCAGACGACATGGGCGCATTCTTGTATTCTCCAGTCGACACAGCGGAGGGTGAGATCCGTCTTCTCACTCTGCACCCCACTGCAGACAAAGAGGCCCCTATTGTTTGTGACCTCCACCGCGTCAAGTTGCGTGATAATCCGGAGTTTGAAGCTATATCATATACCTGGGGGGATGAACATCCATCCGTCCAGATCGTCTTGAACGATACGACATTCAAGGTCCGAGAGAATGCAGCAGCGGCACTGCGCCGCCTACGACGGCGCAAAGGTACTCGCCGCGTGTGGATCGATGCCATCTGCATCAACCAAGAAGAGGTTCCAGAGCGCGACCGGCAAATCACGGTGATGCAGCACATCTTTGGGCAGGCCTCGCAGGTCATCATATGGCTGGGGGAGCCTACGGAGCAGGGCATCCTCGGGATAAGATACCTGCAGGGGAAGCTCATAAATGCGAGCCTCCGTCAGCTATGGCTTGAGGTGTACGGCGACAATGTCAGGCCATCCTATACAACAAACGTGTCTACCGCGTTAGACAGGCTGACGTACACGGATGAGCAGCTGGCCGGTGAGATCAGAGAGCTTCTGGATCGACCGTGG